AAAAAAAAAAAAAAAAAAACATTCTATATCTACAGTCCCTTTATGCTGGTATTATTTAATCCATTTCCACATACAACTTATCTACTTTCTAAGCAGAGTAAAAGGTTTAAACTGATGACTTTTAAGATATATAAAACAGGCTGAGCACCGTGGTACACACTTGTGATCCCACCCGTTGGGAGGCTGAGGTGGAAGGATTGCCTGAGCCTGGGAGTTCAAGACCAGTCTAGACAACATGGTAAAACTCCAACTCTAGAAAAAAACAATTTTTAAAAGCTGATTGTGGTGGCACAGTCCAGCTACTGGGAGGTAGAGGTAGGAGGATGGCTTGAACCTGGGAGGCAAATGTTGCAGGGAACTATGATCATGGCACTGTACTCCATCTTGGGCAACAGAGTAAGACACTGTCTCAAGTTGTAAAAGAAAAAGATATAAAACATACCTAAAATTGCCAACAGGCTAACAGATTTTTTCCATCTCTGAGAACATAATATGTAACTATACAATTCCTTGTAAAATAACTTATTTAATAATAATAAGTGACAAATTTATTATTGACTCAGTGAAATAGGTCAGATATTTTGAAAAGACTTTAGTCAGAAATGAAGTGAAATTTGCAGAGAATTTATGTAAAACATTTTTTTTTTTTGGACTCTCAAGTTTAATTTCTTTCTTTTCTTTTCTTTTCTTTTTTTTTTTTTCCCCCTTTCTTTGAGACAGGGTCTCTGTCACCCAGGCTGGAATGCAATGGGGTGATCACAGTTCACTGCAGCCTGGAGCTCCCAGACTCAAGGGATCCTCACACCTCAGCTTCCCAAGTAGATGGGACTATAGGCTCATGCCACTACGCTTGGCTAAATTTGTATTTGTTGAGATGGGGTTTTACCATGTTGCCTGGGCCAGTCTCCAGCTCCAGGATCATGTGATCTGCCTGCCTTGGCCTCTCAAAGTGCTGGAATTACAGGCATGAGTCACCGTGCCTGGCCCTCAAGTTCAACTCCTAACTAAATAATAGACCTCAAGTTACTTGGGGTAGGGGTGGAGAATCTAATAAATGGAGACTATGTGGAAAAGATTAAAGGCATAGTATGCATTTTATCTGCATGAAATAAAAAGAATGTTTTTTGAACTTTTTCTTCAGTCTACCCTAATGACTTTTTCTTCAGCCTTACCCTCATGGTCCTTGATTTTCTTTAAATTGGAGAAATTAGTTTCCAGTATTGTGTTTGACTTTGTTCATAAACTACTACATGTCAGCTTATCTTAGCCAGCTATTTTATTTGTTTATGATTCTCTAGTTGTCTGAGGGAAGCCAAAAGCATGCAAGCCTACAGAAAAGCATTGAAAAAGCTAAAATTGGCCGATGTGAAACGGTAAGATTGTGTCTATAGATTCTTTTAATAATGACAATTCTAAATATCTAAATAGAGTAAGGACACAGAGCTTCCTCTGAGGAGGATCCATTTCCACCAGAAGAGAAGGGGATCATAGCCAAAGATATGAACATTTTACCTGGTAGGATTCACTAATTGTGAGTCTAGATTTTATTATATGTGGCAGCATAGCATAGAAGCATAAACCCTAGAGCCAGACTGCCTGAGTTTGAAAGTCTCCTAAATTCTGTTTTCACTTTTCTCTGTTGCAAAATGGGGAATAATAAAATCTATTATACTTCATTGGGTTATTGTGTGGATTAAACTAGTTAATATTTGCAAAGCACCTAGAAGAAGACCTGGTACATGGTAAGCCCTATGTAAATGTTTATATAAATTTTTAAGTGTCTTTTAAAATATTTTTTTTGCACAAAACAAAACCATCAACATGGTATTTTTGTGGCCTTGTAATATTTTAAAATTCTAAAAATAAATATTGACCTACCATTTTATTAAGTATTAGGTTAGAGATTTTAAAAAATCATTTCACTTTCTATTTTCATCATTATCTCAACTATAGATTTATGACTTTAAAAAAATATTGAAGGTCAGCATGAACCACTAAGCATTTCATCCAGATCTCTGTTTGTGTCACTCGATTGGGAAAGAAAGCAACTGGAAAAGTTGTCACATAGTAGAAAGGGATATAGCAAAGCTTTACAGTGGCTTTATGCTTTCAGTTATTTCACATATATTCTTTCATGTGTGTCATCAGCACAGTCACAGATAGGATTGGAGAATGGTCATTTCTGAAGAATATTCAAGGAAAGGCAAATTCTGGGCATAACCTGAAGCTGTTCTGTTTCTTCTTCAGTTGACAATAGCAACTACCACTTCTTTATTTCATTCTTTTTGTTTTTCGAAACACTGGTAATAACTTGTAGAACCATCTTCAACTAACAGTGACATATGTGTGCCTAGAAGTTGTCAGCCAGTCTGTTACTCAGTCCACTGGAACCAGTGCATCTGGGAGTGGTTGGTGGGGAACCCACCAGCAAACATACTTGTTGCCGGCAAATAACAAAAGAGTTTAGTGGTTCAGAAATGTTCCGAAGAAAGATGAAGTCTTGTGCTCATCCTGAGCTTATCAGCCAGGACTTTTCAGAACTACCTAGCCCCTGTCTGCTAGATATTATTTGTGATGATGGTGGTGATGCTGCTGCTGGTAAAGAAGAAAACTAGCTAACATGTATATTCTGCTTATTCTGAGCCAGGCAATTACTGTTCTAAATGCATTTTGTATATTTATCGAATCCTACTAGCAATCTAGAAAGGTGGCTACCATTACTGTTTCCATTTTGCTTTTGAGGCACTGGAGGCACAAAGAGGTAAAATAACTTGGCAAAGATCTCAGTGCTAGTAACTGTCTAACATTGTTTCAGTGCATGATATCTGGAAAACTGTAATTATATTCACATTGGATGTTCACTGCTCTGCTTCTCCTGTCTTCCTTAACTTTTTTCTCCTCTTGATTTTTTTTTTTTTTTTTTTTTTTTTTTTTTTTTTTTTTTTTTTTTTTTTTTTTTTTTTTCCGGTTTGTTTTTTAGAGATGGAGTATCTCTGTATTGCTCAGGTTGGCCTTGAACTCCTGGGCTCAAGTGATCCTCCTGCCTCGTCTCTTAAGTAGCTGGTACTACAGCAGGCACCACCACACTTGGTGGCAGTGGGGTTTTTTTTGTTGTTTGTTTGTTTTTTTAAAGCATGTATAATTTGGGTATTGATGGCAAACAATGACCATCTTCTTATATTCTAGTTATCTAAACATCTCTACTGAGCTGTGCTAATATGATATACACTAACCATGTGTGGCTATTTATATTTAAATAAAAATTAGCTACAATTAAATTTAGTCTCTCAGTCACGGTGGCCACATTGCATATGTTGAGTCACCATATGTGTCTAGTGGCTCTTGCTGTGGAGAGTGCAAATCTAGAATGTTTTCCTCATTGCTAAGAGTTCTGTTGGGCTCTGCTGCTTCCAAGTGTGCGGCTCTGTATATGCAGTCTCTTGTACAAATACTAGCAAAGGAACTTTCTTCACTTTGGAACCAAAAGGAACTAAAAGCAAAGTTGAAAAATACAAGTAAAAAATGTAAGGTAGCTGGAAACCTTACAAGTCCAGTTAGGCAGTTTGAACTTTACTTGATTTTGCCTCAGATTTATCCTATAATTCTGTACTATAATCTTTGCCAGCATTTGGATTTTGTTTGGGCTTACTTTTCAGGTTTCAGAAATACAAATTGAATACATATAGCACTATGATTTCTACCTGCTAGTGAGAAATACGGCCAGACATTTCAAATGGTTTTTATTGGATCATATTGTATTTTGAAGCTTAATTCTGATTTTACCTTTAAAGAACAGGTGGTGGGAGGCCTCAGGCTACAATTGTTATTTCTTTAAATGTATATAAAATATAAATAATATATTTAAATATTCTTAAAATTCTTTAAATGTCTAGAACACTTTTAAGGATAATTGTATAATGATCGATGTTGACATAAAACCTCACATACATAGACATAATCTTGTGAAACTACTCAAAAAGTAGTATAATTTTTTTCTCTAACATATGACAACATGATCATTTTAGAGTTCTGACATGAACCTCTCACCTATTTATGAGCATTCCATTGTACATATCAATTTCCACTTAGCTATTCAATATATATAAAAGATGCTTGAGATTTCAAGATGAGAATTGAGCTTGTTCTTATACTGTGAATATCTTTATGTGTATATTTATACATGCAAAAAAATGTGAAAACTCTAATGCACATCATTTATGAGAAATAAAATGAAATTGTTATAAAGTGTATTACCTTACAACATACAGAATTTTGTTTGTCTGAATTGAACATAAAACTGTTTGGAATGCAGGAAGAGCGAACCACGCTAGCAAAAGAACTTTCTTCACTTCAAGACCAAAGGGAACAGCTAAAGGCAGAAGTAGAAAAATACAAAGATTGTGACCCACAAGTCGTGGAAGAAATACGTAAGTTTGTGTCATAACTTAGGGATCTTTAATTTTGATAATGAAAAAGACTTTATATTTCTAGTTGCCTGCTAACCATTCCCCTTGTATATGAGAAAATAAAACCAGTTAAGATAGTATTCTGTTTTTAGTACTCTACAACTTTGTATTTTTAGTATAGTAGGAAAATACTGCCTTAGTATTTTTAATAAGTCTTAATGTGCCAGGCACATTGGCTCACACCTATGATCCCAGCACTTTGGGAGGCTGAGGTGGGTAGATTCTTTGAGCTCAGGAGTGCAAGACCAGTCTAGCCAACATGGAGAAATCCCATCGCTACAAAAAAAACACAAAAATTAGCCAAGCGTGGTGACACATGCCCATAGTCCCAGCTACTCGGGAGGCTGGGGGTGGAAGGATCCTTCAAGCCCAGGAGGTCGAAGCTGCAGTGTGTTGTCCCTGTGCTGTTTGTGCCATTGCACTTCAGCCTGGGTGATAAAGTAGGACCCTGTCTCAAAAAAAAAGAGAGAAGTCTTAATGTTAGAGTATTGAACAGTGACAACTTTGAAATTATAAGCATTTTAAAATTAAGGAAAATGTGTGGGATAGAAGGATAAAGACATAAAATGTAAGCTTAGAGAACTGAGGAGTCAGAAAAAGAGCTAATTTGGCCTTAAGAACCTTGATTCTGTAAAGAAATCCGTCACTATCTTCTAGTGAAATGATACCATAAGTAAAAGAGTTTGCAAGTTGCAGAAAATTAGCCTGTACCTTGAGTTGCCTTTTAAATATACCAGTGATTTTTTTTTCCTTCTTTTAAACAAGAGTCCCCAGAGCTTTGTTTTGAATAATGTTTATATATTTATGTAAAGATTGAAATTTGAACATTTGAGGAGATAAAGAGTATATTATAAAGACATAGCATTTAATTACTTGGGAAAATATTTATAACTTCTTCATATTTTTCTGTCTTAGCCTTTTACTTAGGAAACTTTACCAAGTGAAATTTATAGAAAAACTGATATTACAGTGTGTGATGGAAGGCTTGGAAAGAAATGGAAAATATTTGGTATGTTAAAAAACCTGAGAATAGTTTGATTGCAACTACTGGCCTAGTCCTTGGCAGTGGTCTTTATAATTAAAGAATTTTTAAGCAGTTCAGTTAGAGGAAATCTAAAGTTAAACTTTATTTTAGACAGGTCGCTCCTTTACACAACTCCAGGAGGCACCATTCACATATGTGGAATACATAGCCTAGGTGGTGATATGTAGTGTCACTGGTTCAGCTGATTACCCAAGGGATTTTCAAAGAGAGGTGGAGGCAGAACTCCCCCAGCCAGTCGTTCTCTGTAAAGTAAGCATTTGGGGAGACATGTCGGGTGTTTTATGCTAACCACAGATTCCTTTGTCATCATCCTGCAGAAGAAAGTGCTAACCAAATCTACACCTACAAAGTTAACCACCTTAATCTGTTTGAAAGTTTTAACTCGGGCCGGGCGCGGTGGCTCAAGCCTGTAATCCCAGGACTTTGGGAGGCCGAGGCGGGTGGATCACGAGGTCAAGAGATCAAGACCATCCTGGCCAACATGGTGAAACCCCGTCTCTACTAAAAATACAAAAAATTAGCTGGGCATGGTGGTGCGTGCCTGTAATCCCAGCTACTCAGGAGGCTGAGGCAGGAGAATTGCCTGAACCCAGGAGGCGGAGGTTGCGGTGAGCCGAGATCGGGCCATTGCACTCCAGCCTGGGTAACATGAGTGAAACTCCGTCTCAAAAAATAAAAACAAAAATAAAAAATAAAATAAAAAAAAAGAAAGTTTTAACTAATACCAGATGATCCTCAGTGAGCGCAAACACATCACAGCAGGAGACAAAATAGGAAGTTACTGCTAGGAAGCTAGGCCCGCACATGATTCATCTTCAAAACGAAACACAGACTGTTTGTTCAGGAGGACTTACAACGTTGTGTACCTTATCTAGAGCACCTTCTCATTCTCTTGAAAGAGAACTTCAAGAACAGTTTACTTACCCAGGTTAAATATTTTCAGGTGATTTATTTTCAGGATAGCATGGCTGTGCCCTCCATCAGTTCATCATGAAAAATCTGAGTTTTCACAATAACCAAATCTGACCCTTCATTTACTATTTTTTATCTTTTTTTCTGATCTCAGTTTTGTGTGATTCTTGTACTTTTTCCTTGGTGTACCACCTTTTTGCTTACCTGTTTCATTGTCTTTAATGTCTAGGACCTACAACTCTTAGGTATATCCAAAAAGACTTAAGCTTTTTCACTCTATGGTCCCCATTGTACTGCCACAGTTATTTTTTTGGGCAGGTGACCCTCACTGACATCATCTCCAATTGACTTCCCAGTCTTTTTCATAATTTTGACAAATTCTTTCCACTCAGGAATGAATACAACTCTTATTTAGTCTTACTAAACTACTGTAACCTACACTGATAGTGACTCTGAGCCAGTGGATCACATTGAGGTTCAGGAAATTAACAGGGATAGAGACTCGTGCCAGACCGATTCATGAAGTAGGGAAAACTTGTATTTTAGTCATGTAATTTAAGATGTTGCCATTTCTTGTAGGTCTGATTCAAGTAGCGCTTTTGGCAAACACATCACCTCTTAAGTAATAAAACTTCAGAAAAGAAGCTCAGGGTATACAAAGGATGATGAACTTTCTGGAGAGTGGAATAACACAGTTGAGGAGGAGGCAGCAACTGAAATTTTAAACTGGTTGCCTCATTCTGCTGTCCATCTTAACCCTTGAATTTATATGTTTGGTAATTTATTTCCCAACCCAAGGAAAACATGCCAATGTTAATGAGTATTATACAGGATATGAGGGCTCACTGGGTGAGAACAAACCCAAAATGTTCTGGTTTTCAGTGAGGTTTTTCTTTTCTTTTTTTTTTTTTTTTTTTTAATAGGGCCTTGCTCTGTCTCCCAGACTGAAGTGCAGGGCTCACTCATAGCCTCAACCTCCCAAGCTCAAGCCATTCTCCCACCTCATCCTCCCAAGGAGCTGGGACTACAGGCACATGCCACCAAACCCAGCTAGTTTAATTTTAATTTTATTTTTTATAGAGATAATGTCTTGCTATATTGCCCAGGCTGATCTTGAACTCCTGGCCTCAAGCAATTATCTCCCCTTGGCCTCCCAAAGTGCTGGGATTACAGGTGTAATGCTTGGCCCTTATCATTCTTCCATGCTTGGCCTTTATCATTCTTCATCAATATTGCACCTAGATTATCTTTTAATAGTTGTTTATGCAGCCATATAAAGATAGATCCTGGAGAATTTGTAATGATGAGTCTATTAGAGATATATTAATTTTGACTTGGAAATGAGAGAGTGAAAATTGTTTCCTCCTGGCTTTGTGCATTTTTAAAAATTTATTAAAGAATATCATCTGTTTTGCCAGGCACAGTGGCTCATGCCTGTAATCCCAGCACTTTGGGAGGCCAAGGTAGGAAGATAGCTTTAGGCTAGGAGTTTGAGATTAGCCTGGGCAACAGAGAGAGACCCTATCTCTACAAAAAATTAAAAATTAGCTGGGCATGCTGGCGTGTACTGTAGTCCTCAAGTTTTTTTCCTCTAGTTTTATTATCTTTCTACTTGAGAGGCTGAGATGGGAGGAGTGCTTGTATCCAGCAGTTCAAGGCTGCACTGAGCTAAGACCGTGCCACTATACTTCAGCCTGGGCAACAGAGTGAGACCCTGTCTCAAAGAAAAAAGATTAACATCTAGCAGAATGAAACTCATTATGTCTGGCATACAGGCAAAGACTACCAGGCCTGGAGAGAAGTGGGAAAACATGATCTATAGTGAGCAGAAAACTCCATCAATCAAAATTGACCCAGAAATTAGGATCAGCAGACCAGAACATTAAGACAGTTGTTATAACTGTAGTCTATATGTTCAAAAAGATAAGTGGAAATAGGGAAGATATAAAAAAGACTAAGGTCAGGCTTTTGGACATGAAAACTACAATGTCTTACATGAAAAATACACTATGGTGAATTACCAGCTGGTTAAATTTTGCAGAAGAAGGAATTAGTTGAAGATATAGCAGTAGAAACATCCGAATGAAACACAGAAAATAAAGAATTTTTAAAATTTGAAAATGGGGCCAGGCACAGTGGCTCATGCCTGTAATTCCAGCATGTTGGGAGGCCAGGGTGGGTGGATCACTTAAGCCCAAGAGTTTGAGACCAGCCTGGACAGCATAGGGAGACCCTGACTCTTATATACATACAATAATTTTTTTAAAATATGAAAATCGCATCTGTGAGCTTTAAGACAACTTCAAGGGACCTAATATATGTGCAATTATAGTCCCAAATGGAGTATGTTTTGATGGGAGGAGAGGTTGCTGGGCCAGAAAAATATCTGAAGAATAAAAGCTAAAGTTTTTCAAATTTGATGAAAACTATAAACCCACAAATCCAAGAAATTTAAATATTTAAGTAGTAGATGCCAGTGATCCCCTTACCACCAAATTTAGAGAACTTCTTAAGACTTTAACCTCTACTCACCCCAAATCTCCATTCCTCAATGAAATTATTGTTTTTAAAATGCACTTTTTGATAATGAGGGGTTTCATGGGATTTCAGCTGTCATGTTAGTACAGAACAGATTATACTGGATTAAAGGCTTATGAGTTTCACAAATTGATTTTAATAGGATTTGGTTCTTAGTAGCATTGCTATAGCCCTCCCCCTCCCCCATTATTATAACACTCAGGCTTATCTCTAAGTCTGTCATGATTTATTCGGAGCACAATTTGGTGACTGTAGCTATAACTATTTGTTCATATGGGTTATGGCTATGTATTTTCTTATTTCTCAGTAACCCCCATGAGAAATATTTATATTTAATTGTACTAGTTGAATTATTGGTATCATTAAGCAAGTATTGAGATTAATTGCTTGGGAAGTTGAGGCAGGCAGATCACTAGGGGTCAGGAGTTTGAGACCAACCTGGCCAACTTGGTGAAACCCTATTTCTATTAAAAATACAAAAATTAGCCAGTTGATTACAGGTGGCACACACCTGTAATCCCAGCTACTCTGGACACTGAGGCAAGAGGATCGCTTGAACCCAGGAGGCGAAGGCTGCCATGAGCCAACATCACGCACTGCACTCCATCCTGGGTGACAGAATGAAACTCAGTCTCAAAAAAAAAAAAAAAAAAAGATTAATTGCAAATATCCAAGAAGTGATATCTAAAAGCAACAGTTCTTTAAACAATATTTTAATTTAGATATTCTGACCATTATTCCAATGTGACCAGATAAAACATGTTAGTAGAAATTAAATTCCCACAAAAATACTCGAAAGTATCTTAGAGATACTTAAGAAATGTTCTTAGAAATAAATGCCAGGATGACAGTAAAAAGGTGGAGTAAGGACTTCTGAAACTTTGCCCTTTCAAAACCTTGCAAAAATTGTTGTCGTCACCTCTTTTCAGAACTCTGGAAATTAACCAAAGGCTTACAGGAGCCTACTGAGGAAGATTAGCTGACTCTGAGTAAGAATAATGAGCTTTGTGGTACTGAATTTGCCTATTCTCATTTCCTGCTGTCACCTCAGCAGTGACCTTGAAGGATAAAGACCCTGTATTCCCATTGTCTAGGGGAGCAAAATGCAGCTGGAGCTCTTTAAAAGCCTTGATCCCAAAGAACTGTCATCATTTGCATGTTTGGTGGTTCCCTGGAGGACACCAATAGGAAAGACTGTCTTTATTTGATCTGGCTTGAGGTATGCCCAATGCTAAAATCCTCTCTGTGGGAAGTGTTTGTCTATAACAATTATAAACAATAATTTTAACTTCTCAGTTAATCATTGTTGATGAACAGTGATTCATCAACAATAGACTAATCAAACAGTAGACTAATCAAAAAGCTTAAAAGGGCCAGGTGCAGTGCTTAATGCCTGTAACCCTAACACTTTGGGAAGATTGCTTGAGGCCAAGAGTTCAAAACCAGTCTGAAGAACTCCATCTCTATAAAAAATTTTAGAATGAGACATGGCGGCATGTGCCTGTAGTACCAGCTACTCAGGAGGCTGAGGTGGGAGGATCACTTGAACCCAGGAGATCGAGATCAAGATCGAGGCTGTAGGGAGCTGTGATCGCGCCACTGCACTCCAGCTTGGGTGACAGTGAGACCCTTCTAAAAAAAAAAAATGGAGAAACTCAAGGATTTGTTCATGAGAGCCTTGAAGAGCAACATATTCCTGGAAGTATAGAAGGCCTACATGCATGCTTCAGGTTGTTCACATTCTTAGTTAAGACCTAGGACGGTCCCCATATCTAGCTGACTTTGATGCTCTGTGCAAGCAAGAAGTGAAGACTGAGTCAGCATTATAAACTGCCTAGCTGAGAATGCATGTCCCAGCACACAGGCAAACCCTCTTAGCAAAGATGGCTGAGCCCTTTGGCAAAGAGAGCCTCTTCACAGAGATTTAGTCCACGCGTTTAAGGAAATCTCTGTTCAATTAATAGCTTGACCACTAAGCTAACCAAATAGAGACTTCAGTGACCACACATAAGAACACAGACTTTACGGATTTAGCTCAAGAAAATTACTAAACAAGTGTGTGTGTGTGTGTGTGTGTGTGTGTGTGTGTGTGTGTGTGTGTGTGTGTACTGTCATCATTTGCATGTTTGGTGGTTCCCTGGAGGACACCAATAGGAAAGACTGTCTTTATTTGATCTGGCTATATATACATACATACACACACACACATATATGTATGTTATGTATTTTTTTTTTTTACAAAGTCTTGATCTGTTACCCAAGCTGGAGTGTAGTAGTGCGATCTCTGCTCACTACAACCTCCACCTCTCAGGTTCAAGCGATTCTCATGCCTCAGCCTTCCAAGTAGCTGGGATTACAGGCACCTTATATTATTTTTTAAATTAATTATTATTATTATTTTATATTCTCTGTCACCTCAGCTGGAGTGCAGTGACATGATCATGACTCAGTGCCTCAACTTCCTGGACTCAAGCAATCCTCCTGCCTAAGTCCCCTGAATAGCTAGGACTACAGGCACACGCCACCACACAGAGATAATTTTTGTATTTTTTTTAGAGACAGGATTTTGCTATGTTACCCAGGCTAACATTATTTTAAATGTCCAGTTTTGCAATAAGATTATAAGACATACAGAGAAATAAACTATGGCTCACATACTGGAATAAAAATAATGGAGCCAGGAGTGGTGCTCACACCTATAATCCCAGCACTTTGGGAGGCTGAGGTCAGGAGTTCAAGACCAGCCTGGCCAACATGGCAAAACCCTATCTCTACAAAAATGCAAAAATTAGCTAGGCATGGTGGCAGGCACCTGTAATCCCAGCTACTCAGGAGGCTGAGACAGGAGAATCACTTGAACCCAGGAGGTGGAGGTTGCAGTGAGCTGAGATTGTGCCATTGCACTTCAGCCTGGGCAACAAGAGCAAAACTCCATTTCAAAAAATAAATAGTGAATGGAAACTGTTACTGAGAAAGCCCACATGTTGAACTTACTAGACAAAGACTTACTTTAAATATGTTCAGAGAGAAATGAAAAACAAGAAACTCAAAACCAAAAATTGGTTACTTAAGGGTATCACAAAGTATACAAACCTTTAGCTAAAGAGCAAAAGGAAAATATAAGTAGCTGGGACAACAAGTTGCACCACTACACCTGGCTAATTTTTTATTATTAACTTTTGTAGAGACAGGGTCCCACTGTGTTGGCTAGACTGGTCTCAAATTCCTAGGCTCAAGCAGTCCTCCTGCCTCAGCCTTCCAAAGTGCTAGGATTACAGGCGTGAGCTACTGCACCCGACCAAAAAACAATATTATTAAGGAAATACTCCTCAAATTGATCTACAGATTCAATGCAAAACCTAATAAAATTTCAGCTGCTTTTTTGCAGAAGTTGATAAGCTGATCTTAAGCTTCATATGGAAATCCAAGTATAGTCAAAAGAATCTTGAAAAAGAACAAAGTTACAGACTCAAATTTCCCAATTTCAAAACTTACTACAAGGCTACAGTTATAGAGACAATACGGTAGTGGTATAAGAATATAGGCTTGGCGCAGTGGCTCATCCCTATAATCCCAGCACTTTGGGAGACTGAGGTGTGCAGATCACTAGGTCAAGAGATTGAGACCATCCTGGCCAACATGGTGAAACCCTGTCTCTACTAAAAATACAAAAATTAGCTGGGCATGGTGGCAGGCTTCTGTAGTCCCAGCTACTAGGGAGGCTGAGGCAGGAGAATTGCTTGAACCCAGGGGGCAGAGGTTGCAGTGAGCTGAGATCATGCCACTGCACTCCAGCCTGAGCAGAGGGAGACTCTGTCTCATAAAGAAAAAAAAAAGAATAGACCTATAGATTAATGGAATGGAATCAAGAGTCCAGAATTAAACCCAATTGATTTTTAACAAAGGCGCCAAGACCATGGTGAGTTGTTTGAAAAATATCTCATTTAAACTTACATGTTGTCTTTAAAGGAGCAAGTACAATGAAGATGGACATTTAGGAAAGGGAAATTGTTCACAGTGACTTTCCATTAATTACTAATATTACTGCAACTACCTAAAATTCCCTTGAGAATATGCAAGTTTGTAAAATATAATATTATGTCACTATTTGAGCTTTTTTATAGCCGTTTTATATATATATATATATTTTAATTTTGTTCATATGAAAAAATGTATACATAGCTAAAGATAATTTTATATATGTAAATAACTTGCATTTTATATATATATAATTTTTTTTCAGGCCAAGCAAATAAAGTAGCCAAAGAAGCTGCTAACAGATGGACTGGTATGTACTATAATATTACTGATAAACTATAAACTCCCTTTACACTTACTGTGATGTGAAATTCAGATACCTTTGTGCTAGCGTTGTTTAAGAAAGGGCATTTCTGAAAACTATATGCACTACTCAGCCTGGGTGCAGTGGCTTATGCCTGTAATCCCAGCACTTTGAGAAGCCAAGGTGGGCGGATCACGAGGTCAGGAGATCGAGACCACCCTGGCCAACATGGTGAAATCCTGTCTCTACTAAAATACAAAAAATTAGCCGGACATGGTGGCATGCACCTGTAGTCCCAGCTACTCAGGAGTCTGAGGCAGGAGAATCACTTGAGCCCGCGAGATGGAGGTTGTAGTAAGCCGAGATCATGCCACTGCACTCCAGCCTGGCAACAGAGCAAGACTGCATCTCAAAACGAAAAAGAAAAAGAAAAATATATGCACTACTCAAGTGTTTAATCATTTCAGTTATTTAAGGTTATTTTTTATAATCTCGTGAGTCATTTTGTAAAGTACAAATATTTTTGTAAAACTAATGATTGCTTCCAGTTTAACTTCTGTGCAGATTTTCCTAAGAAAAGTCACTTGGGCTAATCACTTAACTTTCATATATATTAATGTAAGATGGAATCTTAAAGATTTATCTTCTTGCTAATAATAATAATAGCTAAAGTTTGTTGAGGACTGACTGTATGCCGGTTATTATAATGTCTCTATTATTATAGAGATAAATTATAGTTTATCTCTATAATAATCTTGCGAGGTAGGTATGATTATTATCCCTAATTTAGAAGACAAAACTAAGACCCTCAGAAGTCCAAGGCCACACACGTGCCAGACAGCATAACAGGAATTAGAATCCAGCTTTTTAGGCTGGACTTAAAGTGACCACGTTTAGTCAAAGGCGATTAGTCACTGGAAGAACAGATGCTGGAGCCAAGTTTCTCTGACTCCCTGTCCAGGCCTCTGTTTCACACAAAAAAATAAGGATTATTTTTTCCTACTCTATTTTAGAATTAAATAGATTGGTAAAATCAATATAATTGGCCTTTAGGTGGTTTTTTTTGTTTTTTTTTTTTTTAATGAAATTGCAGTCTTATTTATTACAAAGGTATTTCTTAAGTAAGGTAATGCTTTAGTGATAAGAACAGAAGAGGGTAAAACAGCAAACTGTCATAAAAGAGAATAATGAAACAAGTGTCCCACAAAGTATAAGTAAATGTGAATTTTTGGCCAGGTGCGGTGGCTCACACCTGTAATCCCAGCACTTTAGGAGGCCAAGGCTGGCAGATCATGTGAGGCCAGGAGTTCAAGACCAGCCTGGCCAACATGGTGAAACCCCATCTCTACTGAAAATACAAAAATTAGCTGATGTGGTAGTTCATGTGTAGTTCCAGCTACTCGGGAGGCTGAGGCAGGAGAATGGCTTGTGCCTGGGAGGTGGAGGTTTCAGTGAGCCGAGATTGTGCCATTGTACTCCAGCCTGGGTGACAGACAAAGGACTCCGTCTCAAAAATTAAAAAAAGTGGATTTTTAGGTTAAAAATAAGACAAGAATCCACAGTGATTTCCCCCAATAGTTTCAACAAAGAGGCTCAGCACACAGTAGGGACAGGCAGCATTTGTGTGTAGTGGGAAGAACATGGCTTTCAAAGGAATCCAAGCTGTTCCCCTTACTTGCTGTGTGACCTCTTGACTTCTCAGTCTGCTTCCTCATCTGTTCAGTGTGGATGAGTAATACTACCTCCCATTTTGGGAGGATTAAATAAGAGAGTTTGTAAGCCCTTCAGCACCATGTTGGACATGTAGATAAATACTCCCCTTTTCCTTTTTTTCTCTTAAAAAAGTTTGTGTTTTTCAATTGATCATAAACTTCCAAAATTATAATTGGAAAAACATTTGGAAATGGCTTTTTTTTCCTATCAGCCACAGAAGAACCTGGGACTTTTAAAATCATGAGGAAGAAAGATATTTTTAGAACAGCAGAAACAGCTGTTAAGAACCATATTTCCATTTGAAGTTACAGCTTACTCCTTCCAGCTTCCAGCATAAACATGTGTTATGAATGAAAAGACGGAGATAGGAGATAAAGCATCACACCTCAGAAAACCTCCACCTTCACAACAAACAAAAGAAAACAGTAATAAAATAATTTTTTCCTAGTCTATTTTAGAATTAAGTAGATTGGTGAAATCAATATAATTGGACTTTGGTTTTTCTTTTTTGATGAAATTACAGTCTTATTTATCATATAGCTATTAAAGTTTGCCTTAATATTCATATTAAAAATATATAGAAAAATAATTTGCTTTCTTTTTACTTAAAAAAGTCCTGCACATTGAGAGGCCAAGGTAGGAAGATCACTTGAGATCAGGAGATAGAGACCAGCCTGGCCAACATGATGAAACCCCATCTCCACTAAAAATACAAAAATTAGCCAGGCATGGTCGTGTGCACCTGTAATCCCAGCTACTTTGGAGGCTGAGGCAGGAGAATTGCTTGAACCCAGGAGGCATAGGTTGCAGTGAGCCAAGGTTGTGTTCCAGCCTGGGCAAGAGACACTATCTCAATTAAAAAAACAAAAAGTCCTTAAAATGTATCTAGTATTGAGAATATTTACTGTTCAACAATTCAGTATCTCAGTTCTACGGGATGAGAGATTACCTCCAAGTCTAAGTATAGAAATGCCACATCTAAATATTTTGTGACATTAAATACACTTTAAGTGTGACTTCAATTATATCATATAAAACCTTGCTTAATGATTGAGATAGTGGCCATGCACAGTGGCTTACACCTGTAATCCCAGCCCTTTGGGAGGCCAAGGCGGGTGTATCACATGGTCAGGAGTTCGAGACCAGCCTGGCCAACATAGTGAAATCCCGTCTCTAGTAAACATACAAAAATTAGCCAGGTGTGGTGGCATGCACCTGTAGTCCCAGCTACTCGGGAGGCTGTGGCAGGAGAATCGCTTGAACCTGGGAGGCAGAGGTTGCAGTGAGCTCAGACCACACCATTGCACTCCAGCCTGAGTGACAGAGTGAGACTTCGTCTCAAAAATAGTGATGATAATCATAATAAATTAAGATGGTGAAGTTCTTATAAAACATGTGAAAGAGATCTTAATGAGTGAAGAGGGATAGTTGTCCTGAGGTGTCCTAACCTAGATTCATTGCAAATGATATTGACCATCCTATTCCTTTATGTATCTTTGGTGTGCCACTGTATAAATCAAACAGGAATTCTGCCAGTCTTAAGATTATTTCTTTAAAATAAAAAAATTATTCTATATCCATTTATAAAAACTTATATGTAATAGGGAAATTATTTGACAGGGAATGAAGTCTCAAGATTGTCAGTGACATTATCTTGAAGGCCAACATTCCAGTGGCCCAAGGAAATGTTTAATCACAGTCTTCTTTGAATTGGTCCATTAGGTGTTGTTGTGAAGAGGGTTTTATTTCTTCTTTTTCTTGTTTTTTTTTTGTTTTTGTTTTTTTTTTGAGACAGAGTCTTGCTCTGTCGCCAGGCTGGAGTGCAGTGGCGTGATCCTGGCTCACTGCAACTTCTGTTTTCCGGTTTAAAGCAATTCTCCTGCCTCAGCCTCCCAAGTAGCTGAGACAACAGGCACACACCACCATGCCTGGATAATTTTTTGTACTCTTAGTAGAGACGGCGTTTCACCATGTTGGCCAGGATGGTCTCTATCTCTTGACCTCATGATCCGCCTGCCTCGGCCTCTCAAAGTGCTGGTACTTTTTCTTGTCTTTAATCTTTAAATGTTTATAATGAAATAGTTTCTTATCCTCCTGTGAATCAGGAACTCCTTTCTGTAGAGGCTATTCAGTAGTCTTGCCCTGGTGCCTCATTCTCTTTTCTGATCCAGGTTTGAAGTTTGTTCCTGCAAGCTTCCTACATCGTTGTATCTGTTCTCTCATTTCCTAAAAATCTTTCTGTCTTCATGGAGCCTATCCTGTAAGCAATACACATAAGGCTTGGCCATTTCTCTCTAAGACACCTATTACTTTGTAATTGTTTAGTCATAAATTATTTTTTTTCTCTCTCTCTTGGGTCAACTTGAAGGCATAGGTTCTTCACATTCTGTAATAGCTGCAGTACACCTGATACTTGTCTTATGTAGCAGCAGACCATCTATAACGTTTGGGTGTGATTAGCAAGAATGTATTGGTTGGTCAGAGACTGGTAAAAATTATCCTAGAGTACCTTATGGTATTGACATTCTCTCTTAGGTTGTTATGAAAAGTAAAGATTCATTTTAGACTGTTACGAAGAGTAAAGATCATTTGAATATCGGTTGACATTCCATAACACTTTAATTAAAAGAAATTAATTTTGTTAACACTGTTCTATTTGATGCAGTAGTATTCACCATAAACCTCATTCCAGAAAGGTATTTATCATTATTTGATACCTGGAATTAAACTTCCATAGAAACAATATTTTAAAAAGTGATCAAACTCCATGTATTAGTTTGCTAGAGATGCCAGAACAAAATACCATTAATAGGGTGGTGAGAAAAGATCCTTTCTCAAGGGAAAAGAAAAAAAATCTACTATTCTTCCCAGTGCAGATGAACAAATTTCAAGGTAAAGATGTTGGCAGGTTTGGTTTCTTCTGAAGGTCTTCCTTCTCCCTGTGTCCTCTGACCGTCTTCCCTGTGTCTCTCAGTGTGTCCAAATTTCCTTTTCTTATAAAGACACCAACCTGACTGGATTAGGATGCGCATCCCAATGACTTCATTTTCACTTAATCGCCTCTTTGAAGATCTATTTCAATATAGTCACATTCTGAGGTACTAGGGGCTAGGACTTCGGCATACAAATTTGGGGGGAAATGATTCAGCCCATAACATTCCAGAAGAACCTATTCTAACCCTTTACTTCATTATCACTACTAATAGAGTGTTTAACATTTTACAGAATACTCTGACAAGCTATAAAATCTTACACCATTATTTTTTCTGTGTGTATAATACATTTTCATCATAAAGGTTGTATATGTACATTAAAGAAATGTATGAAATTAAGAAAAGAAAGGCTGGGCATGGTGGCCATCACCTATAATCCCAGCATTTTGGGATGCCGAGATGGGTGGATTGCTTGAGCTCAGGAGTTTGAGAGCAGCCTGGGCAACATGGTGAAACCTCATCCCTACAAAAAATGCAAAAATTGCTGGGTATAGTGGTGCATGCCTGGCGTTTCTGCTACTTGTGGGGCTGAGGTGAAAGGATTGCCTAAGCCTAGAAGGTTGAGGCTACAGTGAGCTGAGATTGCACTACTGCACTCCAGCCTGGGAGACAAAGCAATATCCTTTCTCAAGGAAAAAAAGGGAAAAGAAAAGAAATCTACTGTTCTTCCCAGTGCAACCACTGTGAGCACACTCACACTCTCCTGCCTCCCGCACTAGCTGTGCTTAGGGGCCATTCCTGATGAGTAGACATTTAGCTTGCTTTTATTTTGTTTATTATGACACTGGTATAAAGACCCTTGACCAAAAATCCTTGTACACAGTTCATTTTATTTCCTTGGGATAAATCCCCTGAAGTAGATATACCCCCTTTTTTCAGTGGTTAATGCATTTTAAATTCCCCCAGGGGATGCTGAGGACATTTCTGTTCTTAGTCTTAAGAGAATAGAACCCCTTTCCCTACTCCGCACACCCTCTCCCTACTGACCTGATTGTCTGGAAGCCATTACTGTCTGTGGGACAGGAAGAAGGGTCTGCAGAGAATGTGTTCCCCTTGGGAACAGGAGCAACTTTAATTCATGAGGCAGCAGCCTGGCCTCTGCTGTGGAAATGTAGAAGAGACACTATTAACCTGTCCCTGTCTTTGTATCATTCTTAAGTCTGTTATTTAGCAGCAAGCAGCTTACAGAATTTTAAAATACGAGATCTATTAACTTGTTCCAAATAGTATTTGAATATTAGCTGCCATTACTCTTAAAAATACAGAAAACTCTGAAAGTTAATAGAAGAAAGTAAAAGAACAAAGAAGATAATTATACTTGAAATGTTTTATGATTGTGCTTTTCTCAAAATTATTTCTCAATTTTCTTTATAGATAACATATTTGCAATAAAATCTTGGGCCAAAAGAAAATTTGGGTTTGAAAAAAATAAAATTGATAAAACTTTTGGAATTCCAGAAGACTTTGACTACATAGACTAAAATATTCCACGGCGGTGAAGGATGTAAATTTTAAATGATATCTAAATAAGTGTACTGAATTGTCATTTGCCTGTAACTGTATGTATCCTTTTGTTAATGTTAAATAAAGTATTAAATGCAGATGTTCTTCACCCTTTTTGGTAGATCACACGCAGGATGATGACCATATCCCCTCCAGTGCTCATCAGAGTAGGACATAAAGCCTTGCACCTCATTCCAGGCAGATTTACAAATGATTTTCTTTAAGATCAAAGCCATCATGTGATAACATTTTAGATTTGTTTAAATATTAATGTTAACTATTAAGGGTGTATTTGGGCCATGTGTGGTGGCTCACACCTGTAATCTCAGCACTTTGGGAAGCTGAGGCGGGCAGATCACTTGAGCTCAAGGAGTTCGAGACCAGCCTGGCCAACATGGCAAAACCCCGTCCCAACTACTCAGGAGGCTGAGGCAGAAGAATTGCTTGAACCAAGGCACAGGTTGCAGAGAGCTGAGATTGTACCACTGCACTCCAGCCTAGGCAACAGAGCGAGGCTCTGTCTCAAAAAATAAATAAATAAATAAATTTTGAGGCTAAGCACAGTGGCTCATGCCTGTAATCCCAGCACTTTGGGAGGCCGAGGTGGGTGGATCACCTGAGGTCAGGAATTCAAGACCAGCCTGGCCAACATGATGAAACCCCATCTGTACTAAAAAAACACAACAAATTAGCCCAGTGTGGTGGCTGGTGCCTGTAACCCCAGCTACGTGGGAGGCTGAGGCAGAAGAATTGTTTGACCCAGGAGGTGGAGGTTGCAGTGAGCTGAGATTGTGCCACTGGACTTCAGCCTGGGCAACAAGAGCGAAACTCCGTGTCAAAAAAAATTTTTTAGGCTGGATGTGGTGTCTCACACCTGTAATCCCAGCACTTTGGGAAGCCAAGGCAGGCTTAAGCCCAGGAGTTTGAGACCAGCCTGGGCAACATGATGAAACTTCCATCTATACATAGAAATACAAAAATTAGCTGGGTGTGGGGTGCGTACCTTTAAGTCTCAGCTACTTTGGAGCCTGAGGTGGGAGGATCGCTTGAGCCTGGGAGTCGGAGGTTGCAATGAGCTGAGATTGTGCCTCTGACTCCAGCTTGAGTGACAGAGTAAAACCCTGACTAAAAAAAAAAAAAATTAAAAATTTTTTGTTAAAAACCAAGACAAACACACACATTAGCCTAGCCTTACACAGGGTCAGGATCACCAATATCACCGTCTTCCACCTCCGCATTCTGTCAAAGGAAGGTCTTCAGGGGCAATAACATGCATAGAGCCGTCATCTCCTGTGATAACAACTTATTGAAAACCACCTGAAGAAAACTTTTTAATAAGTAAAAGAAAAAAAAAGGAGTACGCTCTAACATTAAAAATATGGAAAATATAAGCCATATAAAACATAGTCATTATTGTCAAGTATTATGTACGATACATGATTGTGTTGCTATACTTTTATACAGCTGGCAGTGCAGTAGGTTTGTTTACACCATCGTCACCATAAATACATGAGTAATGTGTTGCACTAAGACATTGCCACAGCTACGATGTCACTAGGTGGTAAGAGTGTTACAGTTCCATTGTAATCTCATGGGACCACCATCATATATGTAGTCTGTTCTTGACACTTGTTAAACAGTGCATGACTGTAGTTGTGTTTGTATAGCACACATTACCAACTATATAGAATGTTAGGATTATTTTTCAGCTATCTAAAAAAGTAGGTTGAAAATGGCATATCCCATGTATATATCTTTTTTTCAGTTCAGCGTGGCTATTTAGAGAATTTGCAGGCACTCCAGATCTAAAGAAAAAAAATCAAAACATACGTAATGTTCTTTACACATATGCTTTTTTTTTCACATTGTCCAATTTTGATATTCTTTTAAGTAACTCGAATGAAATATTCCATATGTCTAAAATGACCCAAATAGTATTCAAACCATTTGTTAGTGAATCTGGCCTTTGTATCCCAGGGAGTTGCTCTGGGTCTACTTAATCACTTCCTGGAGGTTAGGGGGGAGCAAATTGGTCTGTCTTGTTCATGAGGCCAGTTTATGTTGCCTTAGGCAACGGCTCTTCTGACTAGAGAAAGTATTTGATGTAAGAGACCAAGGACAAAAAATAAAAAACACTCGCCATAAGCCTTTTTCTAAAACTAGTTGTGGGAATTCCAAAACTTCTTGGGCCCAATTTGCTATTATTATAAAAGATACTTGTTTAGAAAGGAGGTATGAGTGTTCAAAAAAGAAACCATATCTCTAAAAGATGATGTTTGATATTTAGGCAACTTTTAAAAACTTAGGTCTCTATAGGGCCAGCATGAGAGTGAGTGAGATGAGGGTCCTTACATGAGCTAACCAGAGGCTGTAGCATCTTCTTTAGCCAGCAGTGTGCTGCTCAGTGCTTAGTAGCTCGCTGTCTGGAAGAGGGAGGCTGACTTACAGCGTTTGCCTGCTTGCGTGGTGTACGTACTGCCAGCATAGCCAATTTGAGTTACCAGTGTGATGCCAGTAGAGAAGGGGAAGAGATGCTCAGCAGCATACCGTTGCGTATCTCCACCGTACAGATGCAGCAGATAATAAATCTCAATAGCACGGGGAACGGTAAAATGTGGTGAAGTACTTAGGGAGTGATCACTTTTCAGTATTTGGTGTCTTTGTTTTTAATAAACAGTTCACCATCCTTTATAGAACTTCATCTTTAATGCAGGCTGTGTTTAACCGCTGGCTTGCTGCTCCTGTCCATCGCTGTTGTTAATCTTTAAGGGCTGTTTCTGAGTTTGTTCTCACCTGAAATTCAAGATGCTAGTTAAGAAGGCAGGAAGCCAGGCATGGTAGCCTGTGCCAGTGGTCCCAGTGTATTAGTCCGTTCTCACACTGCTAATAAAGACACACCTGGGACTGAGTAATTTAGAAAGGAAAGAGGTTTAATTGACTCAGTTTCAGCATGGCAGGTCGCAGGAAACTTAACAATCATGGCAGAAGGGGAGGCAAACATGTTCTTCACATGGCAGCAGCAAGGAGAAGTGCCAAGCAAAAGGGGGAAAAGCCTTTTATGAAACCATCAGATCTTGTGAGAACTCACCCACTATCCCGAGAACAGCAGCATGGGGGGTAACTGCCCCCATGATTCAATTACCATCACCTTTCACCAGGCACCCCCCACGACACGTGGGGATTACAAGAACTACAATTCAAGATGAGGTTTGGATGGGGACGTAGACAAACTATATCACCCAGCTGCTCAGGAGGTAGAGGTAGAAGAATTGCTTGAGCCTGGAAATTCGAAGCCAGCCTGTGCAGCATAGTGAGACCCTGTCTATTTAAAAAAAAAAAAAAAAAAAAAAAAAAAAAAAAGGCTGGGTGCAGTGGCTAACACCTGTAATCCCAGCACTTTGGGAAACCAAGGCAAGTGGATCACGAGGTCAGGAGTTTGAGACCAGCCTGGCCAACGTGGTGAAACCCCATCTCTACTAAAAACACAAAAATTAGCCAGGCATGGTGGCACACGCCTGTAATCCCAGTACTTGGGAGGCTGAAGCAGGAGAATTGTTTGAAACCTGGAGGTGGAGGTTGCAGTGAGCTGAGATTGCACCACTGCACTCCAGCCTGGACAACAAAGCAAGACTCTGTCTCAAAAAAGAAAGAAAAAAAAAAAAACAGCAGCAGCCCAGGAGCACGAGTCTAGCCAAACAAGGTAGTCCTTAGTCTTGGGTTGGTTTCATTACTGATTTGAAGATTTAGGACAACTTGGGTAGACCTAGAATCATATTACAAGTTATCCAGGACCAAATTTGATTCAGTAAATCATGCTATAAATGATAATCCCAAAGGCCGGGCTCGGTGGCTCACACGTGTAATCCCAGCAGTTTGGGAGGCCAAGGTGGGTAAATCACGAGGTCAGGAGTTCGAGACCAGCCTGACCAACATGGTGAAACCCTGTCTCTACTAAAAATACAAAAATTAGCTGGGCATGGTGGCTCATGCCTGTAATCCCAGCTACTCAGGAGGCTGAAGCAGGAGAATTGCTTGAACCTGAGAGGTTGAGGTCGCAGTGAGCCAAGATCACGCCAGTGCACTCCAGCCTGGGTGACAGAGTGAGACTCTGTCTCACTTAAAAAAAAAGACATCAATCTCTTTTTCATTTTTTTTTTAATCTCAATTTCTGTCCTATTTTTAGAGAATTCTAAAAAAATGTTTTCAGTCTCCTGGTAAGTTTCACAATTGTCCAGGGACAGATCAAATCTGTGAAATGTCTGTTCTGAGGTTAGAACAGGAACAAAGCACTCTGTAAGGAAGACTTTTCTCCTGATGTTTGCCACATCTTTAGCCTAGTGGCAAATTATAGAGTTCTTGGCCTGTCTCAAAAATAGATGCTATTGTTCTTTACTTTATCAAACATGATTTTCTGCCATGCGCAGTGGCTCACACCTATAATTCCCAGTGCTTTGTGAGGGCCAGGTGGGAGGATCCCTTGACGCTGGAAGTTCGAGACCAGCCTGGGTAACATAGCGAGACTCCATCTCTACAAAAAAAATTAGCCAGTTGTGGTGGCATATACTTGTAGTCCCAGCTACTCAGGAGGCTGAGGCAGAGGCATCACCTGAGTCCAGGAGCTTGAGGCCACAGTGAGCTATGATCGCACCACTGTACTCTAATCTGGGCAACAGAATGAGACCCTTTCTGTAAGAAAAACAGAAACATGATTCTCTTTAAAGGGTTAGGAGAGGAAATGAATATAGCTGAATATAGCTGCCAGCCAAGAAGCAAGAAGCACCCTAATAATTCTTGAGTGGAAAGTCTAAATTGTGAATCTGATAATACTGTTTTTGAGAACGATGACTGAATTAAAGCATCTGGAATACATTTTTCAGTTGATATTGTATCATTCGTAAAGCAGTTAAAATGTGACAGATGGGATGACATTGCAATATTATGCATAAATGCCCTTTCAGGATATACTTAGATAGTGTTTATTTGACAGAAAGAAAATGCACTGCATTACAAAATGATCCACTGCAGTGAATCTACATATTATACTTATCCCAGCATGAGTTTTTAAAAAAATTTTGAGAGAAGGCTGGGCGCAGTGGTTCACTCCTGTGCTCCCAGCACGTTGGGAGGCCGAGATGGGTAGATTACCTGAGGTCAGGAGTTCAAGACCAGTCTGGCCAACATGGTTAAACCCC